CAAAATATTAGAACATTAAGATGTTAGAGGAATTTGTAAAATTAAAAAGTTTAAGATTTTAAAAATTTGTCATGCATCGTAGTTAAGATAAATATTTACCAAGAACCAGTATTTTTGTGCAAATATTCGTATATAATGTGATGCATGCAATAGATCACAACCAAGCTCACATGTTACACAGTCACAGAATAACTCAACACATTTTAAGTCAGTAGTGTCAGTTTCAGTACGTACGTTCTTTGAACATTACTTGCACAGCAATCAAAAATAACTGTAGTTTTTTAATTGCCATGTAACTTCTAAGTTTCAACTTTAGTTCTACTAAAATATTTAGTTATGCATAGTGATTTACAAAGTCTTTTATTTTTAATGTTATCTGCAGAAGACGTAAGTGAATTAGAGGGAGAACACAAGCAAGATTTCGCCACGACGCATCTACTCCTGGTGTACAGGGGTGAAAAAAGTGTGTTATTCGCTGTATCTGACAAACACATTGTTTATTAGTATGTTCCAGCAATCGTCAAAGAATCATGAAGAACTAAGAAAAGAAGTTAGTTGAAAATTTGTACTATTTACAGTAAAATTACACTTTTAATTATATTAGAGTTATGAAAAAAACAGAAGGTGAAGCTGAATTTTAGATGAACCGATGTTTATTATAGTGCATAAAAGATTCTCAAAAACTAGTTTAATGTTTCAGTATGTATTGTAAATACTTTAATGCTGAATGGAGTGTGCAAAGAATATTCAACAACACTAGTAAAATTCACAAGTGAGGATAAAATAATAGTAACAGAAAGAAACAAAAAAACTTGTACAAAGACATTTTTATAGAAAACGGCGTAATTATAATAAAAAAAGGATACAAAAAAATTATAGAATAATCTTAAAAATTTTATCGAACAAAAACAGAAATCTGAAAATTGTGAGTAAATGTCTATATTTTGACGCTGCATATTATAGAACAAACACAGGATAAAAGAGAAATTCTGCAAAGTGAGCACTGAGATAACTGATAAAGAGAAAGATGTTAAAAATAAAAATGATGAAGGTCAGAGTGGATAGTGTAAGGTGTGCCTGAGTTGAAAGGTCACAAACATTAACAAGCTATACGTTACAAGAGAAGTGCAGCACGTAAAAAGTAAGTGTCAAGTTGTTGTCTGCTTTTTGCGAGTACAGTCCAGGTTAGAAAACAATGATAAATATAAGAAGGAAAAGTAGAGACTGCGAATAAAGCAATCACCGTATTAAGTAAAATATCATTTTTTAGAATGAATTATAAACTGTTTTATTTACCCAAAAATGTCGAAACCTTTGCCAAAATTTATATTTATTTTTACAAACAATAGCGATATAATTGCTATTTTTAGTTAAAGAAATACCTCCCATACAAGAGGTTGACAGAGAATTGTGCATACATATCTCGAGATAACAGAAAATCCACTAGCGTAGTATAAATATATCAATATATTTAATTATCAAAAAATGTCCATAAATACAATAAATGTGAAATTCGCCCTTTAATACAAACAATTAAGGAAGCTTCCGTTGGATCATGAGGATTGTTTGACGCCAAAAATAAAGAATAATACAAATTTAAAAGATTATAATAGATCATGAGAAAATGATTATAAAATGAATGTAAAATAAATATAGATCAAGCAAATTACATAGCAATTCAAATCAACATAAATTAAGACAAATAATTCAATCTGTCTCATATATAACCAATCTCTTACAAAACGTCCATTATAAAGAAACGAAAAAAAAAAACTATCAAGAATAACAGTAATCGGCGTTCGAAATAATAATAAAATTCTTACTTTCGCAAGTAAAGCAGCAAAATTCAACAAACAAAATCTCTAATAAAAACAATTTGGTATCGCTAAAACTAAAAAAAATAACTTTGATTTTTAACTAAATCCAAACGCGTTTTGAAAAATGGATAGAAACAAAATGACAGAAATTTTTCTATTAAAAATAAACAACAGAAAAATTATAAAATCTACTTTTAGATTTAATTATTCCATGCATCGGGAATTTACGCTATCATAATTGACACTTTTATGAATAAAGCATGAACAATAACATTAATAAAGAAAAATCAAGGAGGAAGAGTGAGATCAACTTTAGTAAGGCTAAACTTCGTTTTAAGGCACAATAACTTATCATAAAAAACTCAAGAACAATAACACATATAAAAGTTCCTTCTAAACAAGAACAAAAAGGATTCCAACCACTAACATTTAGGCATCAAATAATTTCAGATTCGGATCTGGCTGGTATAGAATCACCTTTTGGTTGATAACAAAACAACAAGTACATTTATGTTTTTATCCTTAAGGGTCAGGTAACCCAAAGCCCTTTTTATGAAAGAAAACTAACTCCTTCAATCCACTGAGCTTGGAAAAAAAGACGTTCCAATTTTTATCCACAACAAATACTGCACTTTTTCTGTTGCCTCTGCTAGCTCATCCCTTCGATTCTTTTCTCTATTTCTCAAGACGCTGAATAGTTAATAGCGCAAATAAGATAAGCGAAAACTTTAAGTGGATAAGCCTTTTGTAAGACAATTTTCGTATATCAAAGAGCTTAATTCCGAAAGAATGAACCTCTCTATTTCTTACTCCTGGGACTCTAAAATTAGTTATGTATGGGAAAATTCCATGATCCTAGACGCTTCTTGTTTAGATTAATTGCACCTTGAAAGCAATGAATTTCCTAACTTCAATCAACAAAAGTTTGATAGAATTTTTGATAATCCAACTTTTTAAAATATAACATTATTTGTTTTAGTTTGAAAAATATAAATATATTCAGCCCATCTAAAATTGCAAACAAATTAATACAAAATATTAGAACATTAAGATGTTAGAGGAATTTGTAAAATTAAAAAGTTTAAGATTTTAAAAATTTGTCATGCATCGTAGTTAAGATAAATATTTACCAAGAACCAGTATTTTTGTGCAAATATTCGTATATAATGTGATGCATGCAATAGATCACAACCAAGCTCACATGTTACACAGTCACAGAATAACTCAACACATTTTAAGTCAGTAGTGTCAGTTTCAGTACGTACGTTCTTTGAACATTACTTGCACAGCAATCAAAAATAACTGTAGTTTTTTAATTGCCATGTAACTTCTAAGTTTCAACTTTAGTTCTACTAAAATATTTAGTTATGCATAGTGATTTACAAAGTCTTTTATTTTTAATGTTATCTGCAGAAGACGTAAGTGAATTAGAGGGAGAACACAAGCAAGATTTCGCCACGACGCATCTACTCCTGGTGTACAGGGGTGAAAAAAGTGTGTTATTCGCTGTATCTGACAAACACATTGTTTATTAGTATGTTCCAGCAATCGTCAAAGAATCATGAAGAACTAAGAAAAGAAGTTAGTTGAAAATTTGTACTATTTACAGTAAAATTACACTTTTAATTATATTAGAGTTATGAAAAAAACAGAAGGTGAAGCTGAATTTTAGATGAACCGATGTTTATTATAGTGCATAAAAGATTCTCAAAAACTAGTTTAATGTTTCAGTATGTATTGTAAATACTTTAATGCTGAATGGAGTGTGCAAAGAATATTCAACAACACTAGTAAAATTCACAAGTGAGGATAAAATAATAGTAACAGAAAGAAACAAAAAAACTTGTACAAAGACATTTTTATAGAAAACGGCGTAATTATAATAAAAAAAGGATACAAAAAAATTATAGAATAATCTTAAAAATTTTATCGAACAAAAACAGAAATCTGAAAATTGTGAGTAAATGTCTATATTTTGACGCTGCATATTATAGAACAAACACAGGATAAAAGAGAAATTCTGCAAAGTGAGCACTGAGATAACTGATAAAGAGAAAGATGTTAAAAATAAAAATGATGAAGGTCAGAGTGGATAGTGTAAGGTGTGCCTGAGTTGAAAGGTCACAAACATTAACAAGCTATACGTTACAAGAGAAGTGCAGCACGTAAAAAGTAAGTGTCAAGTTGTTGTCTGCTTTTTGCGAGTACAGTCCAGGTTAGAAAACAATGATAAATATAAGAAGGAAAAGTAGAGACTGCGAATAAAGCAATCACCGTATTAAGTAAAATATCATTTTTTAGAATGAATTATAAACTGTTTTATTTACCCAAAAATGTCGAAACCTTTGCCAAAATTTATATTTATTTTTACAAACAATAGCGATATAATTGCTATTTTTAGTTAAAGAAATACCTCCCATACAAGAGGTTGACAGAGAATTGTGCATACNGTCAGCTTTATCGTGGCAGGGCCGTCATCTTTACACAAGGTACCTCGGGAAAACTAATAAATTTTTTAATATCGATTTTCCCAATGACTTTTCCGCGTATTATTGCTATTTTGTTCACACATGTGTATAATCAAAATGATTATAAAAAAAATATTACAAAGAATCATTTGTATGACAAGTACCCCACAGGGGCCCCTCAATAGATACGACACCAAACGCCCAAGCCTCCTTAAGTACTCCCTGAAGAGATACCAAAAAGGCATAGAATGCACCGCTGGTGATGATTAAAGTATTAATTCGCAGTTATTTTCTTTATCCCATAAGTGTGTTTAGTGCGAGTAAAGGACAAGTAGCTTAGATATTTAATTGTAAATTTAATGTCTTTTAAATTTTCTTTCAATTCCAAAAACTGCAGTAGAACACATTTTTAGGAAATTGCATCTAAATAATATTATTATATTAATAATTTATACACTTTCCAGATATACAAACATACTGTAGAAGAAATTTAGCTAGTAGTGAGTTGGATTTTGTAAAAATCGACGACGTTTAAGTAAACTAACTGTTAAACTAGACATTGAACGTGAAAGTGTGTATAATACTGCATTTAATATAGCAGATGTTACAGCTGACAAGAAAGTGTACTGTTAACCACTAAAGAGAAGTGTGACATACTCTTATGATTTTTTTATGACTTTTTATTTTAACTTTAAAAAAAACATAAATAACATACCGAAAAAAGTTACCACTAATGTACCCCACAAAGATTCGATCAACTGCCATACATTTTGAAAATAAACGGTTGATAAATCTATATTAGACAAGTAATTTTTTTCAGCTGATAATGCTGCATGCTCATGGATGGCATCTTTATTTGATGGCACTGATATCGGTGAGATGCATGGACTGCTGTTTGTAACTTCTATATGCAAATATTTAAGATGAACGTTCAGATGTTGCTCTACGCTATCCTATTAAAAAATGAAAGCATTATATTTCTAAAAAAAAAAGGTATAATCATTAATAAACGGTAATAAAATATCAATACTAACTTTAAATTTTTTAAATATTTCCATTTCAAATTCATAAGTGACTCTACGAGACAACTCTATGAAATATTTGAAGTCACTGCGAAAACAATCCTTTATTTTTGCGAATGAGACCGAATTGCTTACACCATGACCAGTGTTGTTGTTACAAGACAGTAGAGTTAATTTAGGTGACCACTTTAACTTGTATTGTTTTTTCTTCTGAAGCCCTACACATATAAGTGACAATATTAGCATTTATGTATACTTACGGACTCTCTAGAGAAAATATACGTTCTGGCATATAATATGAATATTTATACATGTATAATTCTTAGAATGAGTGTTAAGTTATATATCACGTACTTTAGAAAAATATCAGTAAGCTTTGTGAGCTCCTAATAAATTGAATACGAAGGACAGCAAAGTTATATACATTGGAAAAAAACATAGATACTTGTGCATACAAATGTAATCCACTAAGAATTAAAAAGATCTGAAGACTAAGAATAGATTTTTAGAAATTTAAAAACGTTGCATGTTTTGGTATTCTATTATTATTCATACAAACTAAGTTTTTTATATCTTATTCCTACCTGAACTAATTTTTTCCTTTTTTTTTCTTCACGTACTTTGTCCCTTAAATATGCAAGTTTTTCGAGCGTGCTTATAGCATAAAGATCCCCTTCTATGGCACGGGCATCGATCATACTAGGTATAACTTGCAGGGTGCAGCAATTATTTTCAAAACACCACACTTATCATCTTTTAAAGCTGACTTCTAAATAATCGATCTTTTGAGTAGTGGGGTCGACATTGAGATGTCGATAACGCCATTTTTGCAATGTACGTAATTTTTTTTTTCAAGGGTAAAGTGATGCAATATTTCAAAATCTTGGTTACGTTTGAAAACTATTTTTTACAATAAAAAGAAAGTATAAAAATAAACGCTACAATTAAAAAAATAAGTAGGAGAAAGTTTTATTTTCGGTTACGTCAACTTTTCAAAAGTTAAATTAAAGTAAGGGAACAAACGAGCTCAAAAGGGTTAGCTGAGAAAAAATGAGGTAAAAGATTACCACTTAGTTGCATCTTTATTTAATGGCACTGATATCGGTAGGATGCAAAGGACGAAGAGAAAGCCTGTCGAGTATAGGCACTAACGACACCAAAGACAGCAACGTGTCAGTATTTAGCAACCAGACCCGGGAGGAGCTTACCTCTTTAAAAGAAAGTGTCACTATGCTCAGAGAAAAGCGACAGCAAGTTGCTGATGAAGTCCAATCAGCAACAAAAGACATTACAGAAACGCTACAAGCAATTACCGATAAGTACGGCAACACAGCGAACGCTGTAAAAAATGGGCTCAAAGCGGCACTCGAGCATCTTCAAGAGGCAGAGGTGCTAAGAGAAGGCTGTCTTACTAAAGAAGATGTGTATACCAATGCTTCGAAGTCGTCATTGAAATCCCTGCAGTGAAGAGAACAAAGGCGAACTAATTTTTGACGGCATGTACAGAAAAAAAACCCTGAATACTGCCCTAAAAGAAATAGAACAAAGTGAAAGAAACAGGAGCCCATCGGACAGCCCTGAGAAACGCCAGCAGACGATGCCTTCAAAGAAAAAGAAAACAGGTAGTGGCAAACAAGAAGAAATTTCACTGAATGACAAAACAAGCCAGAAAAAAAAAGTGGACGCCACAACAACAGTAGTAGTGAAGATGGCTGAAGGACAGACCTTTGCAACGGTGCTGAAGACGATGAAGGCGAACATTGACCCCGATAAGGCTAATTAGGCAGGTTACGAGTTGGCTTTGTAAGCTGCCGAATTTGAAGAAGAATTGAAGTGACAAAATGTTACAAATGCCTGGGATATGGACACGTCTCAGGCAACTGGAGGAAAGAAAACAGATCAAAGCTTTGCTTCCGGTGTGAAAGCTCAAACCACCGAAAGAAAGAGTGCCCCGGCCCAGCACGGTGCTTTCTTTGCCCAACAACTGACAACAAGCACGAAGCAGGCAGCGAGAGCTGCCCTTTATTTGTAGAGCCCTAGAAGAGGCCAGAGGTAGGGCCCAAGCAGGACAAAAATAAGGCAAGAAGGCCTTGAGTTAAAAGGCAGGCTAATGTGGACCCACGCTGCGCTGGATGCAAGGAGAAGTATCAAGCTTATAGTGGTGCTTGCTAGGTAGGTGGCCTACTATGGAGCGCTAGACAGGGTGCTGGTTCTCAGGGATCTTGAGTCCTTTTTTTTTAAGGATCTGTGAGGATCAGCACCCCTAGCAAATGGTGGCGAGTTAGCTCGTTAATGCTGTGAGGCGCGATAGTCTCCCTGGTGGCTCCACCCTAAAGTAATACTAACGCAGTTCCAGGGTGAACCAAAAGCCACGCGGCACGAGGGGGGGGGGTTAAGTGGGTATGAGTGGTCTAAATAAAAAAATTAAACGAGTCCCACACTACCGCTGTTCCTGCAATGTGCCTCAAATAATTTTCCTTTCCTCCACATAAAAAAACAAAAAAAAAACTTCTACTGCCACTGCTACCACTGCTACTGCTACTACTACTGCTACTGATACTGTTACTTATACTGCTACTGCTACTGCTTCTGCTACTGCTACTGCTGCTGCTACTGATACTGCTACAGCTACTGCCACTACCACTACCACTACCTCTACTACCACTACCACTACTACCCCGGGTGGGGTTTTCGCTAGTTTCTCCATACCGGGCGCTTCCCCGGGTGGCGGATAGGGGCATCCTCTTAAAACATGAGGTGACGATAGGCAGCTGGGGTGGCTTTCTGTGGTGGTGGTTGAGGGCGTGAATCCGGGGCGTGTGTGGCGTTGGCGTGTGTATCTGCGGCGATGTGGACGAGGGACTAATGCCCCATGCTTCCATCAATGTGGATGCATGGGCCGGCTCTGCTTGTGCTCCTTGTTCTTCGTTTTTTGCTGCTTCCGTGGAAGCCACTCCATTGCTTGATGCGGGCCAACAAAAACTAGCACCCGTCGTGTATAGAAGTAAGCGGCGGTTAAAACATTCTTCTCAGATACATGCATAACACACTTTTCCTAAACTAACACAGGGACACTCACGGATTTTCCTGGGTTGCGTGTGGCAGGTCCTTTTCCGGGCTTGCGTTAGAGGCCTGGCGACGGGTGAAGCCGGATGATGAGGCCCGGGTAAGTCTGGGTAACCACATCTGATATGGCTGTACGCCTTATGAACAAAAAAGACGTGGTGGGCCGACTAATCTAAGCTTACTACCACTGAGGAGGCTATATGGCGGCACCTTAGTGCCTTACGCCAGCTCGTTTTGTTGGGTTGTCTGCGTGGTCTTGGGACTGTACACCTGCCGCTCGTCACGCTGGAATGACCGTTGTGTACCAACAAATACATACATTACACATGAACACCATTCTTACACTGGTTACTCAACGACAGGGCAGTCTCCGTGGGTGGGACTGAGGGAGAGTGGCGACTCCCGGCCGGCCCGAGCAAGTAGCGGTTTTCTCTGGTAACAGAGAGGGCTGCTGCCCTGGTTTCAACCCTTTCCAAATACTTATTTCTAGAAAAAAGGGTAGTGCTGGCCTTCGCGGGTCAGTACGACACTAAAAAGATGCCAAAATGAAAAACGTCGATGCAAAACAAGTACCCAAGGCGGTAACCTCTCTGAGGGAATCCACCGGGAGTTCCGATCCGGTAAAAACCCGGGTGACTGACGCAGGCCCCACGGATTCTGGGGGGGGGGGGCCACAAAGACGTGTCTCATGACCAACAGGAACTGCTAAATGTTCCATGGCCTTTTCTTACAGACAAAGGACGAAGAGGAAGTCTGTCGAGTATAGGCACTAACGACACCGAGGTTAGCAACGTGTCGGTATTTAGCCACCAGACCCAGGAAGAGCTTGCCTCTTTAAAAGAAAGTGTCACTAGGCTCGGAGTAAAGCGACAGCAAGTTGCTGATAAAGTCCAATCAGCAACGAATGACATTGCAGAGACGCTACAACTGATTAATGCTAAGTACGGCAACACAGCGAACGCTGTTAAAAATGGGCTCAAAGCGGCGCTCAAGCATCTTCAAGAGGCATGTCACTAGGCTCGGAGTAAAGCGACAGCAAGTTGCTGATAAAGTCCAATCAGCAACAAATGACATTGCAGAGACGCTACAACTGATTAATGATAAGTACGGCAACACAGCGAACGCTGTTAAAAATGGGCTCAAAGCGGCGCTCAAGCATCTTCAAGAGGCAGAGGTGCTAAGAAAAGGATGTCTTACTGAAGAAGATTTGTGTACCAACGCTTGGAAGTGGTCACTTGAATCCCTGCAGTGAAGGAAAAAAAGGCGAGATAATTTCCGACGGCATGTACAGAAACGAACCCTGAACACTGCCTTGAAGAAAATAGAACGAAGTAAGAGAAACAGGAGCCCTTCGGACAGCCCTGAGAAACGCCAGCAGGCTGTGTCTTTAAAGAAAAAGAAAACAGGCAGTGGCAAACAAGAAGAAATTCCACTGAATGACAAAACAAGCCGGAAGAAAAGAGTTGACGCCACAACAACAGTAGTAGTGAAGATGGCTGAAGGACAGATTTTTGCAACGGTGATGAAGACTATGAAGGCGAACTTTGACCCCGATAAGGTCAAAGTGGCAGTCCAAAGTGTTGTCACTACAAAAAAAAGAGACATACTTATTAAAGCCAAAGGTGTAGAAAATGCTGCTGCATTCTCACAGCAAATTGAAAAGTCGGTAGCCGGACAGGGTACTGTTAAAATGAGCGACAGAAAAGTGACATTAGAGGTCCGAGACCTGGATGCCATTGTAGAGGAAGATGAGGTCAAAGAGGCCTTCGCTATGACTTTTGGACATCAGAGCCAGGAGTCAGAAGTTGCTCTCTTAAAGCCAAATGCCAGAGGACAGAGGCTGGCTTCAATAAAGGTGGACGAAGCATCTGCCAGACAAGTAGAAAAGGAAGGAAGGTTACGAGTTGGCTTTGTAAGCTGCCGAATTCGAAGAAAAATCGAAGTAACAAAATGTTACAAGTGCCTGGGATATGGACACGTCTCGGGCAACTGTAAAAACGAAAACAGATCCAAGCTGTGCTTCTGGTGTGGAAGCTCAAACCACCGAAAGAAAGAGTGTCCAGGCCCAGCACGGTGCTTTCTTTGCCCAACAACTGACAACAAGCACGAAGTAGGCAGCGGAAGCTGCCCTTCATTCAGAAGAGCCCTGAAC